AAAAATTTTGACTCCTAAAACCCTTAAAACCCTCAAAATTAAACCCTAATACAACATAGTTAACCCAAACATAAATGATATAATTAATTTTTTTTTTTATAGAAAAGTGACATTTTGCAAAGATTTTGAAAATGTGGCATTTTTGAAACGTGACATTTGAAAAGTGGCATTTTTAAAAATTTCTCAAGTAACATTTGTATATGTTTTGATCATTTTTACACATAAAAATATCAAAACTAATGGCATTAACATATGCTTGATAATAAGTATTTAATTTTATTATATGTATGCATAATACATATTTTTTTGTACGTTTGTTGATATGAAAAATCATATGATTTGTCATACAAGTTTAAATATTAAAAAAATTGTTAAAATCGATAAGCCAACATAATTATTTAGGGAAAATTTACCAAAAATATAAAAAAAAACTATAATTTGTAAACTAGCAAAAAACCATAAATCCAAAGGCCCACAATTCGTCACATACATCTTTTTCCAACTTTTTAATTTTTAATTTTTTTGGGGTTATTTATTAAAAAAGTCCAATTATTTATTCAGTACTTGGACGCGGGTATCGTGTTAAAATCGATTAGTCAACCTAATTAATCTATTATTGTTAAAAGATACGCAGTAATAGTATCATCCTTTCTATCCACTCGCAGTTCGCCACGAATGGTATGTTGAAAGTTAATTATTTATAAATATGAATAAAGAATTTCAGATCTCAGCTTAAAATATGTTGTCACTTGTAAGCTGTACAGCCGTACAAATGGTACAGAGAATATACGGCCATGTGAGACACATATGGTCGTTGTTATTATATGTTATTGATCCTTTAGAACCTTAAGTTATTCTTCACGTAATTAAATTTGTTCGTCGTGAAAATCATATTTTGATTAGGAATTACAGACAGGCATAAAATATAAAATTCGTTTGTTGAAAAGCGATTTGTATATCACAAAATAAACATATACTATATTCAATTTAAAAAATGTTGTATTTATCGTAGTGGATGATTATCCACGCAAAGACTCACATCATATCATATAAGTTTATCTGATTATTAAATCAACTGAAAATGGATAAATGTGTTTTTCTCAAAAAAAAAAAAAAAAGAGGATAAATGTTAGGTGTTGGGACAATATCATGGAAAACTAATCAACATCTTTTATCATTTTAAATCCCATTACTTAATATTAAAAATGTTTTTTTTAAATAGTATATTAATAATAGTTAATTATAAAGTGGATATTAAAAATGATTACATGAAATAGTTCATTATAAAGTGGATAACTTGCAATTTGATAAATAAATGTCATAATACGTGCGGCGTGTGAAATAAACTTTCATATTTATCACTTCAATATTTATTTTTTCATTGGATCTGATTGCTAACGTATAAGTTTAGTTTTTAGTTGTATAGCGTTACACAATAGTGCAAAAATGAATAAAAAAAAAAAAGTTATATGAATAAAGCTGAGTAACGTTTTGAATAAAACCATTATTCAATTGTAAACATAACATATATTAAAAAAACAACTAAAAATTCCAAAAACAAAAACCTCATTAAAATTTCTCCGATCAGTCAAACAAAAAAACAGAGAAGATCGAAGAGAAAA